TGAGCCACATCTCCAGCCCCATTTTGTATTTTATTTAGAGACAGAGTCCTACTGAGTTGCTTAGAACCTCACCATTGCTGAGCCTGGCTTTGAAGTACGTGATTCTCCTGGGATTACAGGCATGTGCCATCCTAATTGTTGCTAATCTTGAGAGTATTTTTGACTTCTTAGAAGTAATACCTTTTTTAAAGTACTTAGGCAATGTTATATGTTACTTATTAACCTTTTCCCATATAGAGCTCTGGTTCTGTAAAAAATTAGACTTGTTATCAGACATGAAAAAAAAGCAAGTGACAGTTTGTAAGTAATGTAAATTTTGTTTGCTAAATCTTTTGGGTTGCTTTAATGACACAGTATAATTGAGACTATTGATTTTTACTATGGTTTGGTTGATCAGGGTTGTATAGCATTGGTAAATGCTGAAGTTCATTTATTTGTTTGACAAATATTTATTGAGTACCTACTTTGTACAGAGCTGATGCTAGGGATAAAGTAGAAAATGGAAATGTACATGACTGATACTCCTCTCAAGTCAGAAAAATAGAAAATAAATTAATCATTACATTAAAGAATATTTAATTGTGAATGTGGCAAGTACCTGGAAAGGAAAATAGATTAACAGGGGATCTGATTTGGGTGGGGGGATTTTTGCTTCAAAAAAGAGCTTATTTCTGAAAATAAGATTTGGTCACTCAAATCTGCAGGATATAGGTGGGTAAAATGGGATGCAGGAATACTGAATGGAAGGTAAAAATCATCTAGCCTTAGAAAGAATGATAGGAAAGAAGGGAATCTCCTAGGTATAGAAATAATCATATCTAAAGACTTCTGGATAGAAAGAGTACATTCTGCGAACTGAAGGAATGCCAATAACTGAAGGCAGAGAGGAAGGGGAGGTGCCTCATGGGATCTAAGATGGGAAGCAAGGCCTTGAAGGTCACACTAAAGAGTGAAGTTTTCACAGTGAAAATAAGGGAAACTATGCCTGTAATCCCAGTGGCTAGGGAAACTGAGGCAGGAGGAGTGTAAGTTCAAAGCCAGCCTCAGCAATTTAGCGAGGACCTAAGTAACTCAGTGAGATCCTGTCTGTAAATAAAATACAAAAAAGGGCTGAGGATATTGCTCAGTGGTTAAGTGGCCCTGGATTCACTATTCAGTATGCCCCCCGACTCCACAAAAAAGAATAATGAAGCTACTAAAGAAAGGTTTTAAGTGGAGAAATGTCATGATCACATGTGTGTTTTAAATAGATCACTTTAGCTGCAGGATGTATGTGGGTAAAATGGGATGCAGGAAAACTAGTGCATGATAGACAGTGGTGACTTGCCTTAAAAATAGATGTGGAGTTGTGGATGCATTTGAGAGCATTTTTGAGATAAAACTAACTAACTCTAATGATTTAACTCCTGCTTTTAGAGAATGAGAGAGGTTTGGAGGTGGATTCCCTGGTTTCTAGCCTAAAGAAAACAGCAAATGTCAATGCTGTTCACTTAAGGAATAGATTGGGTAGAAAAAAAAATGATGTTGATGTGCAGAAGCTTTTTGATCTGAGGCTATCCCACTTATCGATTCTTGGTTTTATATCTTAAGCTTTAGGAATGGTATTGAGGAAGTCAGTGCCTGTGATCATATGTTGGAGTGTTGACCCTATGATTTCTGCTAGCAGTTACATTGTTTCTGGTCTAATTCCTAGATCTTTGATCCACTTTGAGTTGATTTTTGTGCAGGGTGGTAGAGAAGGATCTAGTTTCATTCTTCTACCTATGGATATCCAATTTTCCCAGCATCATTTGTTAGAAAGGCTGTATTTTTTCCAACATATGTTTTTGGCACCTTTTTCAAGGATCAGATGACTGTGTCTGTTTTATGGCTGTGTGTCTTCTATTTTATTCCATTGGTCTTCATGATTTTATGCAAGTACTGTGATAATCAGTTTTTCATTAATATGACCAGAATACCCCACAAGAACCATTTAGAGAAGGAAAAGTTTATTTTGACTCACCATTTCAGAGGTGCAGTCTATGGTCAGTTAATTCCACATCACTTGGGTTGAAGTGAGGCAGAACTTTATGACCAGAGGGTGCATCAGAATGAAACTGCTCAGATGAAAATGGCCAGAAAGAAGAGAGAGGAGAAATGACTGCAGGGAAAAATGCAGTATTTCTTTGCTTATTCTGGGCCTTTTATTCCATATTTTACAGGATTATTTTGGCTATTTCTATGAAGAATGGCATTG